AGGGGATGGTGGAAGAGCCCTGGGTGATAAAGTGGGGATGGGGAGACGAGATAAAGGAGGTGGCAGAAAGGCCAGCCCCATTTCCGCTCTGATAGGGACCCCACCCCAAGGGACTCGCTGACTTCTGCTGTGTTGACAGGAAAGCCTTGAGGTGGTAGAGGAGTGGATGGGAGGGGAGGGAAGGCTGTCGAAGGGCAGGATATCAGTGGCCTTGGGAGATGTCCGTTCGCTGTTGTTTCTCTTGGTTGTTAGTTCATTCTCTGAACTCCTCCTACCACAAGCCAGCAAGGTGCTAGGCTGTGAGGGCTGCAAAGGCAGAGAGAGCTCAGGTGCTCTCCCAGCCCCGCTCCCTGCCACTCCCAGCCTGGAGGGAAGCAGCCAAGGTGGTGCATAAGAACATGGACTTTACAAGTAGATCGTCTGCCTCTGATAGTGTCTCTCACTCGCTGTACAACTTGGGGGAAATTACTTGACCCCTCTGGGCCTTGGTTTCCTCTTCTGTGCATGGGGACATAGAGTCCTTGTGAAGATAACACCAAGAAAGGCTTGCAGCACGGTGCCTGGCCGGGCCTCATCTAGGGCAGCAGGTGAGGACGGCAGAAGCAGCACCGAGGGGAGCAGGATCTGAACTTCTGTGGGGCTGCCGGCAACCTGTACCTGTCCTGTCTCTTCCGTAAAATGAAGATAATGGTACCCACTGCATAGGTGTGAGTCCATACACAGCGTCTAGAGTTGTGCCTGGCGAGTAGTAAATGTTGAGAACTATTAGCCTTTACTAGTATTTTCATCACCACCTGGCATCCTCTCCTCTACGCAGACATCCTCTTCCTTACAGGGGTCACACTCCCCCTCACACACACACATCCCAAGTCAAGGCTGAAGGGAGTGGGAGTTGGAACTCACAGTTGGGCCCTCTCATTGAAGGACTGAGATGGCACCCCAGCCATGCACACAGCCTGCTCACCATGCCCCTCCCAGCTCCAGGGCAGCAGGGCAGCTTCTGTCTTGAGTGGAGCCACCCCAGGCAGGGGACCCTGTGGGGGGAGTTGGTAGAGGGGCTCCTGGCCCTGGGCCCCCTGTTCCAGGCCAGGGCTCTGCCTCGCCCCATTATCTCCTCCTGCAAAACCTCCTCCACCCGTCAACCCCCAACCGAGATTATAGACCCTCAACTGTCTCCAACTGCTCTGATTCATGGATAAGGCCGGACCCTGTCCCCACGCCACAGTCCCTGGCCACCCCCACCTCTGCCTGCCTCTCTGGGAGCTGGGGAGCTGGTGTCCCTGGGGCAGGGGACCAAGGAACAAGGTGGCCAGGAGGACGTTGCCCCCCACCCGTGGGTGGCCTCCAGAACTCAGAAGGAAAGCCAGTCTCTGATGGGGAGGGACCTGGTCTCCCTCTGTCTCCTTCTTGTTTCAGTGCCGCTCAGCCTGTCTTGTTTCTGTGTCTCCAGGCTGCTCTGCAGTTTCTGCCTCTCAGGCGGCTCTTCCCCCACCCCCAGAGCACACCTGGCTCCTCACATCAGATAACCCAACCACAGCAGCTCCCCTTGCCCCAACCCCGCTTCTAGCAGCCCCCTTCTCGCCCCTCGCTCTCTTCCTCCCCCGCCTCCCCCACCTTACGGCTCCCCAGGCTCACCTAGATTCCCCTGGGAGGCCTGGGGGCCCCCAAAGCCTTACTGGGTAATGAGTGTGTGAAAGACAACTCTTCTTACCCGCAACACACACACACACACACACACACACACACACGTGCACGCATGGTGGAAACTTTATACCCGTGTGCCATGTAGGAAACAGAGTGAGGAGGAGGGACCCAGGGACCAGCCTTGAGGTATGAGGAAAATCCAGCCTGAGGAAGTGAGGGGTGGGGGGTCGCAGAAAAGGCTGGGGGTTCCACGGTTTCCTGCTTCTAGGCAAAGAGAAGCGTCTTCCCTCTCCCAGGGCTTCCTGCTTGCATGAGGTCATCCCCGTCCTAGGGCTGGAGGACTCCCTCAGGCCAGGGTCTGGCCGGGAAGCAGACAGATGTGATCTGGGCCCTTCACAGCCCAGCCCCTGCCTCCCACTCCCCAACAAAGGCCGGGAGGGAGGAGCTGGGGTGGGGGTGCAGGTGGGACTGGGGGATGCTGGGTTCAGGGAGCAGGGATGAGGGTGAGATCTGGGCAAGGAGGGTGGGGACATAGGAGTAGGGGACAGGGACTGGTGGGTGCCTGGGAGGTGGGCCTGGAGGTTTTAATGCCTCTTGACAACAAATGAATCATAGGCAAATGATGTGGAAATGATGGCGTAAATAAAGACGTGTTATTTCAAGGCCCCAGTGTGTCACTGTAGGAAGATAACTGAGGGGGGAGGAGCAGGAGGCTTCCCGGGCAGATGGTGCCCGTAGGTGGGGGCCCAGGTAGAGTTCCTGTGGGGGGCGGTGGAGGTGATGGCCTACTTACATCTCATGTCACCTTCAGGCGATGTGAAATGGCAGGTGGCTGACCACAGCCCGCCAACCCCTCCCCCAGAGCAGAGCAGCCCTCCCATCCCCTAAGCTCCTTGGCGATCCCTCCCACCCTCCCCTAACCTCCCTGGGCCACTGCTACCCACACACACTGTTCCCTTTCCCCAGGATCTGCTCTTGACCTACCTTGGTTCTGCTCTCTGGGGCTGCCCTTCCAGGACCAGGACAAAGTCCTGCTCAGCAGGGACACAGGAGCCAGTGGAACGCCAGGAGCACCTGGGAACCCAGGCCGAAAACCTGGGCTTTTCCCATCAGGATAGCGCTGAGCTAACACCCACAGTGACAGTGCCTGGCACATGGACAGAGCCCAGTATATACCTGCACCTGCTAAGTGGATAAATTCATCACCTCCAAGGGGATGTCAGGAGCCTACGAGTAGCCCAGTCTAGGATTCTGGCCAACCTTCATCCCCACTCACCACAGCTCTTTACAAGGTTGGCAATTATTAAATAACTAGAAAAGTGTGTATACTCATACCACCTTACATAATCATTACTATTGCATGCATTTCCTCTGAATCTTTTTCTCTGTGCTTATGGTGTGTATGTGTGTGTGTGTGTGTGTGTGTGTGTGTGTGTGTGTGTGTGTTTAAGACAGTTGCCATCACAGGGCATACACAAATCTATATTCTCCTGAGATACTAGGCTGCATTCATATGCATCTTTTTATCAGCTTTATAATTTTCTATTAAGTGGAAATATAATTTACTTCACAATTTTCCAGCTGTAGGTGTTCAAATTGTTTCTAATTTTCCCCATTACAAATCATGTGGTGGTGGACATCATTATGCACTTATTCCATTCTGTTTCGGCTATAGAAAGCCAGTTTAGGTACATTGGGTGGAGTTATTGAGCCAAAGGGTAAAAAACATTTTATAGCTCCCACTATATATTGCCAAACTGATTTCAAAAGAGGTTACACCACCAGCAACAACGTGTACATTTCACCACACTCTCACTGATGTCTGAAAGTGGCTTCTACCTTTATCTTGTTTTAATTGGCGTTACTTTGAACATTTCTTTACCTTTGCTTACTAGCTGTTTCCTCTTTCCCTGAAGAGTCGTTTCTGTGCTTTGAACTTAGTCTAGCATTGTTTCAGTGTTTCTTATCAATCCGTATGAGCTCTCTCTATAAGAATGATTTTAAAGCATCGTCCATTCCAATTGCGCCCAATCTCTCCTTTTGGACATTTTTTCCCCCTTTGGATTCAGACAGGGCACTGGTGCCTGCTTCATTGACCTCTCCGACTGCTGCCTCTCAACCTCCTTCCGTGGCTGCCACCCCTCTGCTCACCTGAAACCTTTGTTTTCTCAAGTGTCTGTGTTTAGCCTTCTTCCGGGTCCCCTTGGTTTCCCTTCTCTCCTATTTTCTCCTGCTCTGGTGGTCTCATCCACTGCTACCTACAACTCCAGCTTTCCCCGATGACCCCAGATCTTTATTTGACCTCCCCCCTATTCAGAGGTCCAGAGAGTAACTGTCCACTCAATCCCACCCCCCCAACCCTGCTATTGAACCACCAGCACCTCAATCCACATGTCCACAGCTTGACTCTGTATTTCTCTCCAAATTAGCTTCTCCTGTTTTATTCCCTAGCTCTGCTGCCCTAATACCTTTGGGCCTGGTGGTGTGTTTGGAAGGGGAAAGAGGGTAGAGGCTAGTTCTCCTGAAGAGGAAATGAGATTCTACCAACCTCCAGCTTGGAGGAAGAGGGCTGGGAAGAGGAGGAGGAGGAGACCATTTTTCTAAGAAGATGCTGCTCTGTGACTCAGTTTCCCTGGTTGCCTATAAAGTAGGACTGGCTCTAGGTCTAGAAATAGATGCTTGAAAGCCAAAGCAGGTGGCCCTCCTCCTAGAGCAAATTATCTCTTAATATTGACCTCACTGGCCTCCTCCTCCACTTCTTGAGCCTCTTTCCCAGCAAGAGACTACACGGGCTGACGAAGAGGTTAAGTTAAGCCTGTGCTGGTCAATACAGAAGCCACTAGCCCACGTGCTACTGAGCACTTGCAATTTTGTGTTTTGTTGTGTGTGTTTGTTTGTTTTGTTTTTTAATCCTCACCGGAGGATATTTTTCCATTGATTTTTAGAGAGAGTGGAAGAGAGAGGGGAAGACCGAGAGAAATATCGATGTGAGAGCAACACATTGATTGGTTGCCTCCTGCACACACCCTCACCAGGGCCCGGGCCGAGGAGGAGCCTGCAACCGAGGTACCTGTGCCCTTGACGAATCGAACCTGGGACCCTTCGGTCCACAAGCCGATGCTCTATCCACTGAGCCAAACTGGCTAAGGCTTTTTATTTTATTTTTGATCACTTGCAATTTTGTTAGTTAGAATTGAAATAGGCTATAAGTATAAAACCTAAACTGGATTTCAAAGGCTTGGTATGAAACAAAGGACGTAAACTATTAACAATTTTTTGTTTTGATTACATGCTGAATGACAATATTTTACATATATTGGGTTAAATAAATATACTATTAATATGAATTTCACCTTTTTACTTTTCCTTTTCGTAAGGAAAATTTAAAGTTACATATGTGGCTCACATTCTGTTTCTTTTGAACAGTGCTGATCTAGACCCCCCTGCAGGCAAAACTCGGGGCTCCAGGCTGAGGCAATGACAGGTCCCCACAGATTGAGATGCAGACCCCACTGGAGATATCACCACCCAGTTGGATATGCAGGACAGACTTTGAGTGGCCCAGTGGCCTGGACAAGGCAACATTTCCTGGGCTGGCGTATGGCTCTCCAGAACTTGTCTCTGTGATGCCCTGTTACTCCAGACACACAGTCACCCAGAGCCACCCACCTCCATAGTTCATGGAGAAGTTCTTCATTCATTGAGGCCAGGCCCTGGGCCCCTGTCCAGAAGCCCAGAGGCATCCTTCCTCCTGTCTAGCGCCCTCTCTCCCACGAACCTGCGCTTAGGCTCAGCCCACCTGTGGGCTGGAAGGGGATGAGAGAGGGAGGAGGGCTTGACATGCCCCTGGGCCTGTAGATACATTGGCTGGGTCAGCAGATGTATTTTATGCTCAATTTTGAATGTCTGTCCTTCCTGTTGTCCCACTGATAGGGGAACAGAAAGGGAATAGGAGGGAGCCAGGAGGGAGGGCACAGCCCACTGGGCTGCCCTTCTCCACTTCCTTCTCTCTTGCCTGTGCCCCAGAAGAGCCATAGGAGGGCACCAGGAGCTGGGACCACAGTCTGCACCGGTCTGCCCCCCTTCTCCCGCCTAGATGACTCCACCTCTCCCAGGTCCTGGCTGGGATCCGAAGGCCCCAGGCAAGTGGGGGAAGAGGAGCCACTCCTACTTTCCCAGCAGCTGCTGCTGCTGCCTCTTCCTGTTTTGCTAAAACTCTGGCTCTGGACCCAAGGGGGTGGGGGAAGTTGCCAGCCGCTCCCGCCCCCCCAAAGGTCAACCTTGTCCCCCCCGGTCCTCTTAGCTAGTTATTTATAGCCCCCCAGGCCCTGGCTGAGGAGCTAGATCTCTCCTCCCTCAAATGTCAGCAGCTGTGGCTATTACCCCAGGGATGCAGCCAGATGTGCAGATCACTCCAGATGTGCTGTTGCCAGGATTGGGGAGAGGAGGCAAGGCTCTTTCTACAGCCGGTTTGGGCATTCCCAGCAGCCGGGTCCAGGTTCCCCTCAACTCTGACGCAACTGAGACAATACCAGAGGACCTCGGGAGGGTGGGTCCAGCAAGTGTCCCCACTCCCCTAGCCTGGCCAAGCCACCGGGCACGCCCCGCAGGGGTCAGCTTGGGTTAGAGACCCATTTGGATTCCTTTGCATAAATTAGGTCAGCATCACTGAGATTGAATCTGTAGGGGAAAACTGCGGCTTAGAGGGACAGAAGAGACAGGACACTATCTCCTATTACTAATGTCAGCATCGAGCTCCATCCCCAGCAGAGCCCTGTGTGCGTCAGGCTCTGTGCTGAGCACTTCATGTCCTGATCTCAGGAGTCCTCACAACAACCCTAATATGGCAGGCACTCCACACCGCCCGTCTGCAGATGAGGAAACCGAGCCTCCGAGAGGTCAAATTCCGTGCTGCAGCTCACGCAGTGGGTGAGCGACCAACACCAACCCAAGCAGCCGGACTCCAAATTCTTGCTTTTAACCACAATATGCCGCAGCCTCCCTTCACCATTCCTCTACAGGTTTCTAAATGCTTCCTTTAAAGCTCAGTGTGGAGCCCATCCTCGGGGTCTGCCCAAGAGTAGAGAGTGGCCCTTGTCTCTCAGCCTCCCAACTACTGCCTGAGGCACGGAGCGGGCAGGTCAGAGCAGGATTAGTGCCCCGGCTAAAGGACCCAGTAATCCATTGGGTCCTTTCCAACACGGAACTGCTGTGACCCTGTGAACCCAGCGTCTCCTTGGCAGCACTGGCTGTTGGAGCCCCTGTCTGACAGCTCTCAGCCAGGCTCTTTTCGGCTGCCTCCTGCTCTCCAGGAAAAGATGCATTCCTCCGTGATCGGACCTGTGGCTTCTTTTGCCTCGGTGCCGTGCCCAAGAACCTGGCACAGAGTAGACGCTCAATAAGTAAGTTACACTCGAGGAGAAAGAGTGCAGTGGTGGTCACATGTGGGTGGAGTACTTCAAAGTCTTAGTAAGGACACTCCCACCCATGTCCCTTCGTAGCCACCTTCACCCCATTTCACCCTCACCTCAGCTCATTGCTCCTTTCCTGCCTCCACTCCCTGGACATGCAAGGGCCTGTCCAAACCCACTCCAAAACCACTCCTGGGGAAGAGAGGTGAGTGCCAGTAGGCCAGAACCTCCTCAAGGTCTTCCCTGGGGGTTCCCTGGCTACAGACAAGTGCCTCCTAAGAGGCACCTTTATAATTTGTAACAAGGCGGGACCCTGCCCTCCAGCCAATATAGCCACTGGGGCTACAGGGGGTGCTGTTGGGGGCATGGAGCAAAGCCGAAGCCCCAGGCTCACCTGTGGGTGGACCCCAGCATCCCTGCAGGGGCCCACTGGAGCGAGTAATTGTGAGCTGGCTGTGGAAAAACATTCTGCAACTCAGACGAATTTCTTCTTGCTCATGATTAGTGTATGGCCCGGTGGCTGCCTCCCTGACTGTAATCTCTGCTGGCACAGGCATCTCCGGGCTGGGCAGTGCGGGCTGTGGAAGGAGCGCTGACCTAGAAGCTGGGACGCCCGAGTTCTCTGCCTGCTCCCCTCTCTGATTCATGAATAACCATGTCGTCTCTGGCAAGTTATTTTTCCCCACGGGTCTTCAATTTCCTCATCTGTAAAAGGAGTGGTTTGGATTAGGCCAGGGGTCCCAAACCTAACCACGCTTTAGAATTACCTGGGAGCTGCAGATTACTGGGTACCCCCCACCCCAAAGGGTCTGAGCAGGTCTGTGAGGAGGCCCAGGAATCTGTTTTCACAGATTCTTCCAAGTGATTTTGATATATTATCGGGGTTGGGGGATCCTACAGACTAGATAATCTTGTAAATCACTTGAAGCTCTTAGGAGCAAAGATTCTAGTAAATGGAACCGGCGAGTATCAGGAGGTTTGGGTGCTGGGAGGTTTTATCACAGGGCAAGTGAAGAGTAGTTTATTTCATTGTCATCATCATCATCACTATTATTATTATTACTGTGCTGACATTATTGTTATGGAGGGAGATGGCAGTGACCCCAGCTGTTTGTTTCCATCACTAATGAGGCTCTGGCTTCAGGGGACCCTCACTTACCTCCAGGTTGGGGGTGGGACTGGGGTAAAAGGGAAGGGAGGAATGGGCCTTCTCTGGTGGGTGGGGCCTCTTGGCAAGGGAACCTTTCCTTCCCTCTCCTGGGTGGAGTTTGGCTGCATGGGCTTTGGCACCGACCTCTGGGGCTGAGAGAGTGTCTTCCCACCCATATTCCTCCCCCACTTTCTGTCTCAGCTGCCTCAGCCCTGGGGACTGCCCCTTCTCCTCCTCCAGTCCTGACTTCCTCCCCAGACTCCCTCAGTCCTCACCAACCTCATTCCTGAGCCTGCTAATCTGTTTGCCACCCCTCTGCTTCCTTGCCTTGCCCTGGCACATGCTTTTCTCCCTACCTGGAATGTCACCCCCCCTGACTCCACACTGACTCACATTTCTGGGCTCCTGTAAAACCCAGCTCAACACTCGCCTGCTTCATTCCAGCTAGGCTCTGCCCAAGTCTCTCCTCTCTGCTATGTACCCATTTACGCTTGGAATAACAGAATCAGAAAACTGCTTTAGACTCAGAAAAATAAGTAGAGATGATCCAAACCAGCTCCCTCATTTGACAGATGAGAAAACTGAGGCCCAGAGGACTTGTGACTCGGCCAAGATCGCACAGATAGTGAGATTTTTTAAATAGTTGGCTTCCCAAGAGGCTTTCAAGTATTTTATGTGTTTGTTTTGTTTCTTCAACACATTGTGATCTATATGAGGGCAGAGGCTGTGTTTTTGTTTTTGCCTTTAATGTTCTTTATCTCCACTGTGGAGTGTGTGTCTCCGCGCACGCGTGCGCGCACGTGGTGTGTTGCACCCAGGGTTAGAGTAAGTAATTATAATATTTCTTATGCTCTCAGGACAATACTTCTAAAACTCACATTGGTCCAAACTTTTGCATATATTATTCATATGATCTCAGAGCAGCCCAGTGAGGTAGGTAGCCAAATTATTGTTATTTTACAAAGCAGGAAACTAAGACTTAGAAAGGTGAGACCCAGGAAGTTAATGGCAGAACCAGGCCTAGAATTCAAGTTCCTTGACTCCCAGCCCCAACCAGGGGCCCTGATACCCACAATGCCTCTCTTTGAGCTCTCTCCCGATGTTCCTGGGCACCTGGAATCATCAAGGGGGTGATCTTTGCCATCTTGTATATTCGTTGCTCTTTCTTCGTCCTGGGGTTGAGGAGAGCCTGTCTTTGGCTTCCTGCCCCTCCCCATCCTGTCCCACCGCTTTCTCCTTGTGTCCCCTCACAGCATTGTTGGCACATAGACGCATACACATATACTCAGAACTGCAGGTGTCTAGGGCGACAGACCACAGGGGAAACCACATCACCTTTGTTGACACTGAGGGAGGGAGGGGCGCAGGGGAAGGGACTTGCTTAGTTCTCGCCACCTGCCCCAGTCCCCACGGTCATCAGCCTCCCAACCAGAGCCATGTGGACTTGAAGCCATGCCCCAGCCTCTTCTTCATTTATCCATCCAGTTATGGCCCAGGAGGCTTATCACTTCTTCTCTCAGATCCTGAAATCCTGGATGGGGGTCTGCCTCGCTGCATCCCAAAGCCACACAACCCACTCCCCAATCCTAGCCAGAATACTTATGTAGCTCCCTAATCAATACAACTGTGAAAGGTGGGAACCAGAGGTGAGATAACAGGGCTGGGTCAGTGAGGAATAAAACTTGGCATCTAGGATGTCACACATAGGTCAGCTGGGACCTCAAATAGCCAGGTATTACCAGACCTGACAGCAGGTTCTCTGTTGTTGTGACCTGCTAGAAGAAATTGTGCAGGCTCTGCATCAGACATATTCAGGATTAAGTCACTTACTGGCTCTGTGGCCTCGGGGAAGTCATTTTGTTTTTGCGTTTTAGTTTGCTCACTAAAACAATGGGGATAATAATGAGACATAAGTGAAAGGGCCTTGAACAGCATATGATACAAAGGAGACGCTCAGTAAATCCTAATGATCTTCCCTCCCTTCCTTCCTGCCTTCCACTTGTTATATCTGGTACCATGAAACTCTTTATTTGGAGTTGGGGACCTGCCCCTCTATTAATCTGCCCCTTCAAAACCCTATGAAATGGCGTTTGATCCCAGGTTCAGAAACTGGAATGCAAGGCCCAATCCAACCCAATGAGATGGTCCTCAGAGATCTCACCAGCCTTTGGGGACGGAGCGCTTTTTGATTGCCTTTGTGGAGAGTGTGTGGAGAGTGTGGACTGGGGGATGGATTGTGGCTTCGGCTGCTATATCAGGATGGCCGGTTCAGGAGTGATCTCGAGACCTGAGTTTAGACCAGATGACCTTCTGGAGCTTTGAATCCTGGCACAAGGAGGACACCTGGTAATATTTGTTGTATGAATGAATGGCCCCTTCACTTACTAGTTGTGTAACTTTGGTCAGGTTTCTTAACCCTTTATGAGCCATACTTTAGTCATGACCATGATAAGGGTTATTGTTAAGAATAAATGATCTTCCCAGTGGCTCAGTGGTTGAGCGTCAACCTACTAACAAGAGGTCACGGTTCAATTCCCGGTCAGGGCACATGCCCAGGTTGTGGGCTTGGGTTTTGGGCTTGATCCTTAGTGTAGGGTGTGCAGGAGGCAGCTGATCTATGATTCTCTCTCATTATTGATGTTTCTAACGCTCTCTCCCTCTCCCTTCCTCTCTGAAATCAATAAAAATATATTAGAAAACAAAATAAAAAATAAATGATCTGATGTTTGCCAAGGGGGTAATATAAGACTGTTACATGGTAAATAGTCAGAAAAAAAGAAAAGAATAAAGAAAAAGCTAAGTATGGGAAGAAGAGAAAAGAGGGAAAAAAAGTCAAGTAGGCCCAGAACCACAAAGAGGAGCCGAAGAGGAGCCCCTCAGGCTTTGTACTGGGCAGAGATTCCAGGAAGACTCAGGGGAGACAAGGCCGGTCCCATGGAGCTCATCTCTTCTGCTAGGTGCTGAGCTGAGCAGTCTGTGAGAAGCCTGCACTCAAGAGCCTTTTATAAAAAAACCTCCCATGGTAACCAGGGTAGAGGAGGGAGAGGCAGCCTGTACCTTTCTGCCTCGTGTCTCTTAGGGTTCTTGGAGGCTCTCTAACAGATCCCAGCAAGGGACATGTGACTTAGAAACTGGCTTAAGACTCGGTCATGGGAAGTAGGGCGTGTGAAATGGTAAGTAAACCTGGGAAGGGAGGGAGGGGCACAGTCCGTCTTCCCAGAGGCAGGTCCCACAAGCTATCTTTCTCTCTGTCTATACTTTGGGGGCAGTGAGTCCTGGTGTGTGCAGAAAGTCAGGTGCTGGGTACCATGGGGTAGACACAGGCAGGGGGAGAGACCACCTTTTTTAAAATGTATTTTTATTGATTTCAGAGAAGAAGGGAGAGGAAGAGAGAGAGAGAAACATCAATGATGACAGAGAATCACTGATAGACTGCCTCCTGCACGCGCCCTACTGGGGATCGAGCCTGCAACTCGGGTATGTGCCCCTGACTGGGATCGAACCCGGGACCTTTCAGTCCGCAGGCCAAAGCTCTATCCACTGAGCTAAACCAGCTAGGATGGGAGAGACCCTTTTTGCTCAAATCTCTCAGAGCTCGGTGATTACGTCAAAAAGAAAGAGAAGGCTCACAAATAAATACATGATTGAGGCACATGGTAGAAATGAGTACACAAAGGCCTGATTTCAGTCCAGAAATAACGACAGGAGTCCTGAGGGGATTAAGAGAGGGCGGGGGTGGGGTGGGGGATGCTAAAGGAGAGAGACACAGGGAAAAGACTGAGTGTCTGCAGTAACCAAGCAATTTTTCTGGAGGCTATGGGCACAGAAGAGGCATCTGGAAGGAGAGTGATCTGGTTTGGAAGTAAGGGCTGGGAAGAGCACACCTGAGGTAGAAGAACACACCTGAGGTGGAAGAGCATGTGTCTTGCAGAGTCGCTTTGGGAGTCATGAGTGAAAAAGGGTGTGTTGGAGGTGTCCAGCTGGGGTATGGTCCTTGAAGGCCATGACTATCTGTCCCAATTCAGCAAATAACTATAGGGAGCTTGAATCCCGTGTAAGGCACTTAGCAAGACACTACAAGAAATGCCGTCACGACTAAGGCAGTCGCTGGGTTCGGGGATGTCCACTCTTGAAGGAGAGTTGAGACAGACTGACAACGTGGGGTGGGGTCCTTTAATGGAAGGAAAGATCCCTCCGGCTACGGGAATCAGGGAATGGCTCCTGGAGAAGCTGGTACAGACTTGAGGACTGGAAAGATTTCAACAGGAGGAGAAAGGACTGTGAGGACATTCATTTTTGGAGGGAACATGATGAGCCAAGGTGAGGGAGTGGGAAGGAATGAGAACACGATGGGGAGCAGCCAGCAGCCCACTTTGGCTGCAATAATAATAGTAATCATAGCAACTAACATTGTTGAGCACTAAGTACCAGGAGGCACTGGGCAGAACAGCAGCAAAAGAGAGAGAGATTGTGCAGCATGGTGCCAGGCAGCAGGGGGGCTTGGAGGCCAGAAAGGACTTTGGGAGGATAAGTTAACAAGTGCACTCACCGCCCGCTGACTGAGTGCTGGGACACCCACAGGGACTGCAGACGGAAGTCGGCTGCTAAAAATCCCAGTTAGCAACTAGTGGTGAGGCTGGAGCTGTGCTTGTGGGAACTAGGAGTCTACGGTCAGAAGCTGGACCTCGGTATGGCCAGGCCCTCTTAGGCCACTGTGGACTCTTGTTTCTCCGTCTGGCATGGCTCTGCCTCTGGCTCAGCCTCAATTTCTCCTTCTGTAGAATCCGGAGACTCTTGGGGTTCCTAGGAATAAGGGAAGATTGGGGTCAGATGGAGGTTGCGCCCTGCCTTCCAGTGGTGATGCCTCACGGGAAGGAGAGCCTGGTGGATCAGGTTGTGGACCTCTCCCCTTCCCAGGAGCCACGGGGTCTCTAACCCAGCAGATTGCCAGAGGCGACAGGGTTGACAGACTAGGCTGGGAAGCAGAGTGGTGAGGTCCTCAGCCTCTGACCCCTGAATCTGACCTCCCTCGGCTAAAAGGGTGGAGGGGGTCAGGGAGGGCGCCGTGAAAAGCCGGCAGGAGCTGAGTTTATTAGCCGAGGGAGGGCTGGAGGCGGCTGCATTCCGACTCACAGACTGGAACATTTCTGTGATCCGCTGTAATGCACTGGGAGACACTGGGCACATTGCTGAAGTTTGACTCATAGGGACCGGGAGGGGGAAAGAAGGGGGGAGGGTGGTGGGGGGAGAGGAATGGGAGGAAGAGAGGAAGAGGAGAGGAGGGAAGGAAATCCCTTGAGAAATTTCTTTAAAAAAAGAAAACTTTCAAAACCCGCACCGCCCCCATCCCCGTTTTCTTTTAATAGGAACAGGCTGGACCCTTCGGTTCCCCTCTGCAGGCGTGG